GGGCAGCCTCTCCGCCGGGCCGTCGGCTGCAGCAGCCCTGGCATCAGCCCGGCCGCACGCCAGGCACGAAGGAAGCGGCGCAAGCCCCCCGGTACCAGCCCTTACTCCAGAGGCGTCCATCTTACCAGGTCCCCAACAGTCTCACGCAGCTCCCGGACCTTCTCCTCCAGGTCTAAGTTTCTCTCCGTCAGAGTCTCCACCATCTCTTCAGCACCCAAAGCAGCGTCCACCTGCAAGCACACACCACATCACACCCCAGCCCGGAGCTGCAGCAAGCAGCTCAAAAATCCTTTTATGCCACCGTGGGATCACTCTGCCAGGCTGCAGGACACGGCTGATCAATCTGCCTCCCCACCCTGGGGCGAGCATAAGCTCCCTCCCGACAGCAGCGGACGGCACCTCTCGGGAGAGCAAACCACTCCAGCCAGAAGCGCCAGCAGCCCCCGGAGGAAGGGCACGTGAAGAGGCTTTGGCCCTTCGAGGTGTTACCGGCTCCTCAGCCGCAGCATCAGGGCGTGAGGCCGAACAGTTTCAGGTCAGTGTGAGTGACGCTGACCTTCGGGTTGCGTCGGTGCAGACCCGTGGCAGTGCTTTCCAAGCTCCCCGTCCCCGCTGAGGACCTAGGTGCGTGGTTCTACGCTTACAGCATTAATGGAGGAATGGGCGCTTCAGCCTCTCTGCATTAGGAAGCATCAGCTCTGCTAACAGCCCACCTATGCCACGCTTCAGCGTCCCCCCAGAATCGCACAGGCTGCTCTGCAGGGAATGCAGATCCTTCCCAGGGGCTTCCTAAGGGCTGCCCCACACCCGCACCCACCCGGGAGCTCGCCCCAGAGAGGCGGCGAGGGCTTGGCCCTGAGCGAGCAGCAAAGCCAGGCCAGCCCTGGGAAGCAGGACGCAGCACCCACGTCCTGCGCCCCAGGGCCACCTTACGGCCAAGCAGAGCCCAGCACAGTCCCACTGCCGGAACGGGGTTTGCTTTTGCACAGGGACCCCGAGAGCTCGTCCCTGCAGCGTGTCGCCGAGCGTGGCTCCGAGGGCGGCTGACAGAAAGCGTTCTGCACCCGGAGGTGACCC